AGTTGTCTTGTTTTCCCTGAAATATAACCTAACGCTTTCAAACAATAGTCTTGGGAGCCAAAGAACCACTTGACTCTCCCAAGGGTAATAAATGGTACATGTAATGGTATCATCATAAGTGAGGGGTTAAAGGCCTTTGTTTTCCCTTTCATGGCTCTTTTCTGACTTACTAATGATCATTATAAGCTGCATGAAGAGGCAAAAGCATAGGTGTGGAGGAGAGCTCTTGCTGGGATACCAACATAGCCATCAGAGTTTCCGCATTACCGCTATTTTAAGTTTCTTTCCCCTGCCTCAGTCACCAATCCTCAGGTGCCATATCGAGGATTATTTCCCAAGTTACAAACATATTTTTTCAATGCCATTTTCTTATCTTTTTAATTTATATTTTTAACCACTTTACCTAAAATTCCCCAGAGCCAGGTTCTCTGTTTCAGTTATATATTACTGTGTAATAAACTATGTAAATATTAAAACAAAACCATTCTATTTGCTCATGTTTCTGTGGGTCTGGCCAGAATTTGGGCAGGCCTCTGTGTGGGTGGCTCCCGTATGACCTGCATTGTCTGTGGCTTCAGCTGGAATGTCCCAAAGAACTTAGAACTGGCTGGGCTTCTGTCTCATGGTATCACCTGGAGTGTCTCAAGTGGGGCTTAAGGGTCAAAGATGGCCTCACTCCCAGTATCCTGGCACTCTGGTTATCTCCCTGGTGGCCTCTTGTCATTCAGTAATCTAGTCTGACATTTGCAGGGTAGCCGGCTTCCAGGAGTGAAAGCAGGTACTACAAGGCCTCTAGAGATCTAGGCTTGGAATTCTGAGAATGTCATGTCCGCATTCTATTAACTAAAGCAAGTCACAGGCCAAACCAGGTTCAAGGGGTGGGGAAACAAATGCCACTTCTTGCTGGGAAAAGGAACATTTACGAACAGACATAGAAGGCATTGCTGGCAACCACGTTAGAGACAATCTGCCACATCTTTCAAGAGGTAATCTGATAAACTAAGCTTGCTTATAAAAGAATGCTAGAAAACTCCTCTAATCATCAGGAATCTAATTCAGGGATTGATTCGTTTCATGAGTCTATACTGCTGAGTGAGGCATTATAAGCATTAGGGTACAAGTAAAGTTGAAAAAAGCTGTGGGTTTTTCAACAAAATCACTCCTAAGATGAGTATTTTCTATCTAATTAGTTCCTTTGAACTCAGCTTCAGATAAGCAATAGCCAACTCTGAGTTTTATTTATCAATGAATATTTTGATATTTTTAACACTGTATTGTATTTTCTAGATTACTTTTAACTTCTTGGACTCTAAAACTAAACAGAATTAACATTCTTTAATGCCTTATCTCACCTGTTAAGATTCCTTTATAAGATGATACATTTTACTAACATTTTGTAGTACTTAACATGTTAAAGGACTAAGGAAAGTTTGGACTCTTCTGTCTTCTGTCAATACCCCTCTCACTTAAGAATACCTTTTGGGATAAGAAGTCATCCAAGCCAAAACCGGTTTGGCTCAGTGGATAGAGCGTCGGTCTGCAGACTGAAAGGTCCCAGGTTTGATTCTGGTCAAGGGCATGTACATTGGTTGCAGGCACATCCCCGGTGGGCAGGATGCAGCTGGTCAATGTTTCTTTCTCATCAATGTTTCTAGCTCTCTATCCCTCTCCCTCCCTCTCTGTAAAAAAATCAATTATATATATATTATATATTTGTAAATATTTATGTACCAAACATAGGGGCACCTAAATACATAAAGTAAATATTAACAGGCCTAAAGGGAGCAATAGATAACTATAATATTAAGGTAGTAGGGAAATTTAATACCCTACTTACATCAGTGGCTAGATCACCAGGACAGAAAAATCCATTAAAAATTTGGCCTTAAAAGATACATGTAGACCAAATGGAATTAACCAAATATATATAGAACATTCTATCCAAAAGTAACAGATTATGCATTATTCTCAAGTGTACATGGAATATCGTTCATGACACAAAACAAGACTTAACAAATTTAAGAAGATTTAAAATCATATCAAGCATATTTCTGACCACAGTGTTATGAAACTGGAAATCAATTATAAGAAGAAAACTGGAAAATTCAAATATGTGGCGATTAAACAACATGCCACTGAACAAATGGCCAATGAAGAAATCAGAAGAGATATAAAAAGTATCTTGATACAAATGAAAATGGAAATGCAACATACAAAATATGCAGCAAAAGCAATTCTAAGGGGGAAGTTCATAGTGATAAATGACTACCTCAGGAATCAAGAAAAATCGCAAATAAATAATGGATTAAAGACTTGAAAATAAGACCTGGAACCATAAAACTCCTAGAAGAAAATTTCATCAATAAACTCCTTGACTTGGTCTTGAGAATGATTTTTTTTTTTGTATTTGACAATAAATGTGAATGTAACAAAAGCAAAAATAAACACGTGGGACTACATTAAACTAAAGAGCTTCTGCACAGCAAAGGAAACCATCAACAAAATGAAAAGGCAACCTACTGAATGAGAGAAAATATTAGCAAATTGCATATTAAGGGATTAAAATCCAGAATATATAAAGAACTTATACAACTCAATAAAAACAAACAATCCAATTAAAATATGGGCAGAATATTTGAATAGATATTTTTCCATACAAATGGCCAATAAGCACACAAAGGTGCTCAACATCAGTAACTATCAGGGAAATGCAAATCAAAACCACAATGAAATATCACCTTACACATGCTACAATGACTACTATAAAAAAGACAAGAAGTAACAAGTATTGGCAAAGATGTGGAGAAAAAGGAACCCTTGTGCATTGTTAGTAAGCATGCAAATGGTGTAGCCACCATAGAAAACAGTATGGAGATTCCTTAAAGAAATTAAATACAGAACTACCATATGTTCCAGCAATCCCACTTATGGATATTTATCTAAACAAACCAAACACTGACTCACAAAAGATATGAACTCTGTGTTCATTGAAACATTTACAATAGCCAAGATATGGAAACAACCTAAATGTTCAACAATGGATGAATGGATAAAGAATATGTAGTACACACACACACACACACACACACACACACAGGAATATTCTTCAGTCATAAAAAAAAGAATAAAATATTGCCATTTGCAACAACATGGGTAGACCTGAGGGTAATATGCTAAGCAAAATAAATAAAGACAAATACTATATAATCTCACATAGATGTGGTATCTTAAAAAACAAACAAACACCAACTAATAAATACAGAGAACATATTGGTGGTTGTCTGAGGTGGGGTGGGGGTTGGGCAAAATGAGTGAAGAAGCCAAAGGTACAAATTCAGTTATAAAATAAATTAGTCATGGGGATATAATGTACAGCATTGTGATTATCCTATCTAATAAAAGAGTAATATGCAAATTGACCATCTCTCTTACACACAAGATGGCCACCCCCATGTGGTCAAAGATGGCTGCCCCCATTGGGACACAAGATGGCCACCACAAGATGGCTGGCAGGGGAGGGCAGTTGGGAGGGACCAGGTCTGAAGGGGAGGGCAGTTGTGTGTGGGGGGGAAGGAAAGGCCAGCAGTGGAGGGCAGTTGTTAGGGACCAGGCATGCAGGGAAGGATGTAGGGGCAACCACGCCTGCAGGAGAGGGCAGTTGGGGCCAGCAGGGGAGGGCAGTGGGGGACCAGGCCTGCAGGGGAGGTCAGTTGGTAGGAGATGGCATTTAGGGGTGACCAAGTTGGCAAGAAAGGGCAATTTGGGGCAATCAGGTCAGAGCAATCAGGGGAGCAGTTAGGTGTTGATCAGTGGCAATCAGGGGAGCAATTAGGCATTAATCAGGCTGGCAGGGGAATGGTTAGAGGGTGATCAGGCTGGCTGGCAGAAGTGGTTAGGGACAATCAGGCAGGCAGGTAGGCAGGCAGTTGGGAGCCAGCAGACCTGGATTTTGAGAGATGTCCCAGTATGGGCTGAGGGACACCCCCCCCCCCCCCCCCCCCGTGCATGAATTTTGTGCACCAGGCCTCTAGTGTGTGTATGTGTGTGTGTGTATATATATATATATATAAAGCCAGTGATGTAATGGCCATAACGACCCAATGACTGATTGCTATGATGCTCACTGTGGCCAGCAAACAGGCCTGATTAGGGGGTGGGGCTGGTGGTCAACCTTGCGGCCCCTCCCCCCTGCTGGCCTGCCCCGATTGGACTCTCTCATTTCAATCAAGAGTGGGGCTGCACAGAGCCTGGACCTTTCCTGGCAGCCCCGAGTCCCTGGGGTTGAGAATTCTGATGGTCCTGCCCAGAGAGTAGTGGTGCCTGACAAGCCGGGAGCACCACAGAGTTGGTGAGGAGAGGAGAGGAAAGGAGAAAGGGGAGAGGGCCTGCGAAGGGGGAGGAGGCAAAGCCAGCAGACATCAGCCCAGAATCCAGCCCTTCCCACTGGAGACATCAGGACCTCAATCCAGAACCCTAGCCCTACCTGGAACAGCCTGAGGGAGGCTCAGGAAGCTCTACACAGAGCTTCGTGTTGAGAAGAGAGACTTCGTGAGGCCCTGACTGAGACCACGCTGTGGCTGGCGCAGATCCAGGTGGAGCTGGAGTGTGCCACGCAGAGGCAGAGCACTTTGCAGAGAGGCTGGCCCTCCGGGAGCTGGAGAGATTTGAGCACAGGGCCCTGGAACACAAGGCCGCTGAACTGGAAGAGGAGCTGAAGGACCTGTCCAACCTCTAGGCTGACAACCAGCACTTTGAGGACGAGAATACAGCAAACTGAACATCAGCAAACTGTCCAAGTGACCCTGGAGGACTTGCCCCTGCATCCGCATTTATACAGCTGCTTCTGCCACACGCCCCCCTTCCCCTGTGTGAACACGAGTGACAGGGCTGCTGGGGAGTCGCTGAGAAGCCATAACCTCCCCTCGGGACCTCCAGGCAGAGCCCCCAGGAGCCAAGGGCCATCTGACGCCAGGATGGAGAAGGGAGGCTGAGCCAGGTAGAGGGACCAGGAAGGAACCGAGGACCAGGAAGTGCCAGGACCAGTAGCCAGGACCAGAATGGCCATCCGGAGGTCCCCTCTCATGTGTGCTCAACCACTCACCTCCCGCTCCTGAGCAGGGATCCGAGAATGTGCTAAGCATCCCACCGGCCTGGGCCGGGCGGGCCTGTGTATTGGGTCCATGTATAATAGGGAGGGATGTCTTTTTTTTTGCTGCCTGCTCCCTGACACTGTTGGGGGTAGGGCGAGAGGTATTTTCAAGACATAGCACAGGCACCACAAATAAAAGTCATGAAGTTGCAAAAAACAACAAACACAAACGGGGTGAAGGCCAAATGCCTCTTCTCTGCCCCTTCCCTGACAGCCCCACCCCCATCATCCGGTCCCACCACGATAGGCCTGCAGCCCCTCCCCCCAGCCGGCCATGCCCCCAAGGGGCCTCCACCACTCTGATTGGGCTGCAGCCTTTACCCTGGCCAGCCAGCCAATCTCCTGCAACCCTTCCCCCACAACACCCCAATCAGGTTCAGTGTCCTCTGCCAGGCCGCTGGCCCCTGATTGGCACCCCCATCCATTTGGGGGTGTGGCCCACCACCCACAGCCCCTCCCTATGGTCAGTCCCACTCCCAATCACCTCCCCTTCCCCACCCCATCCCCAATTGGGGGCAAGGCCCATGGATCAATTGCCTGTGGCCCCTCCCCCCCAGCTGGCCTGGCCCTGATCAGGACAATCAGGGCAGCTGGCTGGCCAACCTCCTGCCATCTCCTGTTCCCAACAGGCCCAGCCCTGATCAGCCCCAATTGGAGCTGGGCCAGCCAGACCCCACCCATGCACAAATTCGTGCACTGGACCCCTAGTAGTTAATAATACTGCATTGCATATTTGAATGCTGCTAAGAGTAGAATTTAAAAGTTCTCACCACAAGGAAAAAAAACCTGTAACGATGTATGATGACAGATATTAACTACTTATTATAATGATCATTACAATGTATCCAAATGTTAAATCTTTGTTTATACCTGAAACTAATATTGTATGTCAATTATACCACAATAAAGTAAAAAAGAATACCTCTTGGGAGTAATATCTATGGTCATTTTTCTGTTGGCATTGTTGAAATGTGTAGCCTTTACTGCTGCTGTTCCTAAGAGGATTGTTAGTGGTGGCATCAATTCCTTTTTGAATGTTCACAGTTGATAATTCCCTATTAGGCCATGACAGTCTCCCCTCATTCTATTACCTGATATGAGGAACTTTATAGTGGATTAAAGAACTGACACAAAAATTTTTACTAATGGTGTCCTATATACATATATATATATATATTTTATTTTAAAACATAATTGAGCATATACATTTTTTTAGCTTTTTCCAGGGAACATTGCACCTAAGTTTCAAAACACACAAAATAGATCCCCATTACTAAACAGTTTTCACTTTTGGGCTACAAAAGTCAAGATTTCACAATCACAAAGCATAAAGGTTCATGGCTCTGAAATCATTTTCAGGCATATTCCTCTCATTCACTGCACGTAAGGTGTTTCTGGAAACCCAGACCTTATGATACATTTTTTACAAATGGTCTCCACTGGGCTTCCCTGGGTCTCCAGAAGAAACAAAGAAAATGGAGGCAAAACAGGAGGGAAGGAGTAACCTCAGGACGCCTCAAACAAACACAAAATACTATGGGGGATTAGAAGAGTGGAGGACACAAGGTTCTCCTTCAAGTACATCATAGTAGAACACAACAACACGTGCAACCTCATTTGGTCACTGTCTACCTGGTCTCTGCGTGAACAAAACTGCATCTAAGATGCAAATGAAAAATTAAAGCTATTTACAGATAACGCCAGGAATTAGAAAGTGCAGTACTCCTCAGACTGGCTCTCAGATATGGTGCTCACATAGAGACAAATGGAGCTGCTCATGTAGTGTCTTGAAAAATCCCCGTGTACATGTCACCAACATAAAACCAGTTTGCTCAGCAAGATGGGCTATGGTGTGCAGGCTGCAAAATTCCTCTGCAATTGTAAATCCTCAAAAATCCAAGTTCCTATTGTATGCTTTTTACTTTTTTTCTTAGATCTGGTAACTTTTTGGGTCAGCCTGCTTGTTCTTTGCATAGACAGTGATCTCACTGCTTTCTCCAAGTGTCCCAGAAGCACTAACTTACTTAAAATAGAAACTCATAAAAGCTTAATAGATTTACTCTGAAAAGAGTGGAACCGCTGGGTCATTTAAGGAACGGTAAGGTCCTCCAACTGAAAGAAAACCACTGACCACTTGTGGCCTTGTAAATTAAAGTTGATGGGCGGGAAGAGTTGTTCCCAAGGCTATGGATGATTAGGGGCAAGAGGCCTCTATATATAGGGTCAAGAACATTTGTAAAGATTAATAGAGGGGCAATAACAGAGCTACCTGAGGGCCACATAGGGAAAATGGCAGAAGATTTCCTATCTACTTGTGATTAGATTAATTTAAGGGTGCTGTTGGCCAACATTTAGCAATGCTATTATCTACACTAGGGGTGTCGAACTCAATCAGAGAAGGGGCCAAAATCTAAAATCCAGCCTAAATCGCGGGCCGAATGGTTTACTGAACAGTCATAAACTGTCATTGTGATGGAAACGCAGCAGAGTGCAGTGATGACAGCGTGGTGCGGGCCACATTGCAAGGCCTGGCGGTACGGATTTGGCCCGCGGGCCTTGTGTTTGACACATGTGATCTACACTGTTGAGTGAAAAAGGAGTTCACACGCCAGAACTTCCAGTTATTATGGAACACTAACACACAGGCTCCCTACTGCTTCTAATGACAAAGTAGGCCTTACAGAAAGCCTTAATCTTATTTCTACATATATTGGCTTCACAACAAATTACATGACTGATTTTGCTAAGTCACAAAAGGATTATACACAATCCACTTCCAAGCAGCCTTCTTACATGGCTTAAATTTACTATCTTCTCAACTCCACTTTGGCGCTCTTGCAAACAAAACTTACTATCAATTGTCCAGGATGCATGAAAGAAATCAAAGACGACTCATTTTCACGATCTAAATCCCCGATCTACAAAGGTATACCACTTGAACATTTTCCAGCTCAAGCAAAGCCAGAACCAATTAGCTGGTATAGTGATCCTGCTGTTGCTGCAGGATTCAAACTTGGGATTGAGATATTCATGTCACTCTATCAAGAGTCACGGGAACTTGACTCTTAGTTTGAATCAGGGCAGTCACCATGTCGCCTTAAGAGATTTTCATTGAGCCACCTTGGACCTCTACCAGGGCACCTGATAATGATCTCCTTTTGGTATGCTGGTAATCTCCAAAGAAGTTTCATCAAGCCAATATCATCATAAAAGCAATTTCCCATATATCTACATTGTCTCCAGCTCTCAGATGGGTATGTGATGTTATGTTCTCTTTATTAGATGGAAACCAAATTTTTGACTTAACTTCAAAAGTAGGAGTACTGGACAAATTGCTACCAGCTGGAACTTCACTTAAAAATGCTTTGATTGCGAAATTGTTGCTTGTTGGACTAGTGTCGCAATATCCAGAAGTTACAAGGTTAATGAGGAGAATGAAATTGGATAATATTGAACGAGAATCATCTTTGTCCCCAGTCATAGATTCACTAATTGGAATGCTTAAACCATTTGTGGTTGGTAAGAAATGGAGGAGTGACATCAGAGGCACAATTTCCTTCATGAAGGGGTTTAGTTGCCAAATGCATTCAACTGTACACTCAATCCCCTTTCTCAGTTCTGGCACTTAACACATTTACTGAAAGTCTTTATTGTGTTAAAGAGCATTGATTTAATTGTAGTGACATAGAAGCAGTGACAGACATTTGCCACATAACTAAAGTTGTAATAAACACTGTGGGTGATCCTAGAATCATACATCAGGTTGAAAGATCCAGTTTTTGTGGAGCTGTGTCTACAAATTTAATGACACAATTATCCCTTGCAACAGTTAGATCAGTGAGACACTACTATGATCATTCAGGTACTTTTCCTGGTGCTATCTACTATAAGCCTCTTGATGATATCTTCCTTCTCAGTCCATGGACCATGTGGAGGATTCGAGACAATGTGTTTAACAGAGAATGGGATTCCTGTAGACCTTGAAGGAGTTTGCTGTCGATCATATGTGCCTCTTGATTTATGTCCGGCAGTGTGCCCAGTGTCTGAGACCCTCTTTGGACTTGTAGTGGAAGGTGCATTAGACTGCTTGGAAGCAATTGAAGAATTTCCTTTACACACAGGGAGATCAAGGCGAGGAGAGACTGAATGGTCAAGAGAGACTGAAAGCTATAACGGATTAACAGCCCTAGTACAACATCTTCATCAATATCAAGTTAATCCGTCAATCTTTAAATATAACTTGTAAACCACGATGGTCTTATAGCATATTAGAGCACAAAGAATATTTTAGAATATCACTGTATAGTTTTGGTGTGTGAATTCCTGTTGTGTCTGCTATTTCATTATTTTGATTCCTGATAACAGTGTAGATTTGTCCTCTTTGGTACGCTTTTTATAAGCATCCTTTGCTATACTTAAGAAAAATAAATAAAGTTGATGGGCAGATGTGAAAGGAGGTGAGATTAAGAGGAGAATTAGAGTTTTAAAGATTTGGGAGTTTTTTTTAAGTGTTTTCTTCCTAGTCCTCTTGGTAAATCAGAAAACCCTACCTGAATGGCCATGATCTAGGTCAGATCTGGGTACCAGGACACTCATCCCTGCCTACCAATATCTACTGCTGTAGGTCTCCCAAAAATAAGTGAATACTTAGAAGAGTAAGAAGAGAGTAAGCACAGCTGACTTTACATAGTCCCATGGAGGTAAATTGCTAAGTATTAAAAAAAAAAAATTAAGCACCCTAAATTTCCCAAAGCTGAAAACTGTAGAAAAGAACTGAAATTCCCACTTTAGAGAAGGGGGAAGGCGGGGAGGAGGGGGAAGTGGAGGGTTTGTCTTATTAGTAGTTGGCTATATTTTCAGCTCTATCCAAGAGCAGCAGTTATGTAAACACAACTACTGCAGAACATCCTCTCCTTCTTCAGACTGCTGGCACTGCTCTGATTTCAGGTATTCAGATACCAAAGTTTGGCTGTTGTCTGGGAAGATGTTGCAGTGTGGATGAAGTAAAAATTTGCTCTCTTTAAGAGAGTGTCAAATATTTGAAAGAGCAGGGACCAGCCCAACAACAAGAGTTAGAACTAGAAGAGCCTTTCATTAAAGGAAGTGGCCGCACACATCTCAAGACAACTATAAAGACTTGACTAGGAAAATAAGACTTCCTCTGAATCTATGAGGACAAGCAGATTTGGCTACAACTCAGATACGGAAGATTTCAGAACCACGTGTACATACATTCTGCAGAATTTTGAGTGTGTTGCCTTTAGACCCTTCCAGGAATGCTCCAGACGCCTTCCTGTTATATAGACACAGTTACTGCTCTGGGATAGAGGGTCTGGGTAAAAAAATAAAGCTAAAACCGAGTAAGCTCCAATGCACAGAGTGGTATTAGTACCGGCTAGATTTTTCCATGAGTATAACAAATAATCTTTTCCATATTTGATTTATTCACCTCATTTTTAATTTTCCTCCCATACTCCCAAAAGAATTGGCTTCAGCTTACTGAGCTTTCTACCCAAAGGGCTTATGAAAAAAGGTACCCAACTAAAAGCAGTAGGACTAAATGTGTAAGACTAGGATACACCGAATAAGGGGGTTCCAGAGTTTTTCCTGAGACAAGCCTTGGCAGTAAACGAATTGATGAATTAAGTGGAAGGCTGTCATATCTACATGTCTGCACCGACACTCTGACTCTTGTGGCTCAATTAAAACTGGAAAAACTCAAGATATGGAGTACATAAAAGCTCAGAAAAGGAAAAAGAAATGAAAGGCAATGGAAACACAGGAAAGAGGTGACTGCTTTCCTAAAGCTGATAACTTGGCATCCTCCAAGAGAAACTCAAGATTCCAATTTGTATGTGGGTTAAGGAGTCAAGACGGGAACAGAAAGTGGATCACACTGCTGTAGAATGTCTGCATGTTTTTCCATAGCATAATATTCTGCCCGAGAAGCAAACGGTCTACCATAAACTTCTCTCCACAGAGTGGTTGGGGTAGTTAAGAGTTATCGGAGGAGGATGAAGAGGATGCCTGACAAGGTTGTAGTCCAGTTCTTTTCAGACAGTATTTTGGCAACCACCTGATGGATGAATTCCAACAGTACTTCACCCACCAGGCTGAGCACTGCTTCCACACTGTGGGATGGACATAGACTAGGAAGGCTCCACGCCATTCCTAAAAAAATACCTGTAACTCCAAGTATGCAGGCGATGAACTCATCCAGAGTAAAGTCTGTCCTCTCCTGTAGGGAAGGGTTTCAAAAACGAGAACTGGAATTGGCTCTCCAGAATTTTGGGAGATCACCCCAATGACTCTTTCTTCATTGAATGTTTTAATTTCAAGAAGCTGTCCACATGGTGTGATACTACAGGACCTCTCCAGGAAGAAGGCTCAGCAAATGGGATGTGCTCAGGCAGAGCAGCAGTCTAAGAGATAGAAGGGACTGCTAAACATCTATTTTTCAGTTCCTCCGGGCAGTGAAGCACCCGGCAGACATGATCTGTCCACTGCTTCTGTGGATGCTCTGTGAGGAACACTCAGAGGGAACAGTGGGCTGAGTGGTTGGGTGGCTTGGACCTGGTCCCATGGAAAAGGAGCAGGTGTACAGCATGTGAATGGCCAGGCAACCCAATTCAAATTCTGTTTAATCAAATTCAGTCTGAGTGCATCTTGTCCAAGGATGGTGGGGAGAGGGCCTGCTGTTCCCCGACAGACTGTGATACTTACTCATTGTTTGGAGTGCAGCCCATGGAACCTGGATCCAAAGTGGAGGAAAGGTTCTGAAATGAGTTGTAGTGAACTGACTGACATCAAGGGACTTCCCACACAGCTCTATTAAACACTGCTTTACATGTGTGCTTGGGCGCAGCAAGGATGGGTTGGGGTCTGGAAACAATCATTCCAGAAATGAAAACCCAGATTCAGAAACCAACGGAAACCTCAAACAACAGAAGGGAGACCCTTGAAGACAAAAGAGGAACTGTTGGCCCAAAGAAATACCCCAAATTTTTGTGAAAACACTAATATAGTGAAAAAGAAAAAATTCAACCTAGAAACAAATGATTACACAACAAAGACAGTACTCTGTGTTAGCCAGGGCACTGCTCCAGAGGTCTGCCTGGGTGGTGTGGGTTACAGGATACGGCTACAGCCTGGGTTGGACTTGGACACACAAATTCCTCAGCAAGGAGTTGGAAAGTCCCAGGCCTGGTCTATGGAAACAATTAAGATTCAAGAAATTAAAAAGAAATCCCTACCTCACCCCATCCTCCTCATCATGAAAGAATAGAGAGAGACACACACATAGACAGCATTCCCTGAAATAAGTCTCAGGCCTAGGAGAAGGTGGGAGCTCACACTTTCTGAGGCATGATCCCCAACGTTCCAACCCGTAGACAAATTGGCAGCTTGACAAAGAGTCTCCTGCCAGTTACACCTGAAAATGGCTGCCCTAGCATTCCAGATAAAATAAATATGATTATGTGCCCAAAACAGGCAATGGCCACGTAGGAGGCCTATTGAAGGAACCAAAAGAAACAACACTCAGTAGCAGCCTTTAGGTTTTGCTTTTGCTGAGTATCCAGACCTGTTAACTAAAGCGATAACTGAAACCTATTGATCCTCTTGAAACACAGCCGGAGGCCTTTGGACAGCAAACTCTCCATCGGGGCTGGGAAGAGGTGGCACCATCTGAAACTCTGCTGGGGCACTTCCCAGTCCTGCCTTGCCAAGAGGCATCCCAGCTTTCTTCCTTCTGATCTTCCAATCCCCTGAGTTGTTTTCATGACAGTTTATTTCCATGTATTAAAGGAATGACATATACAGAAATGTCATCTCCTGAGCCCAGTCGGTCATTAGATATCCGCCATCCTCTGTCCTTCAGGACACCTCGGGCACGCATCACCAGGTCCTGAGCTGCCAGTGTGTACCTGTGCAGGGAGAAGCAAGAGCGAGACCATTAGTGCAGCACCAGGCAAAAGTTGGGGTCAGGCAAGGAGAGAAAGGAGGTATCACTACAGCTACAGTTTTTGGATACTCTTAAAGTCTCAAAAGACTAGGTCACTTTTTTCCACATGTGGGATGAGTAATATAAATTACTAGGGGCTCGGTGCATGAAATTTGTGCACGGGGGTAGGGGCGGGGGGTTCTCCTCAGCCCAGCCTGCGCCCTCTTATAGTCCAGAATCCCTTGGAGGATGTCGCCTGCTGGCTTAGGCCCGATACCCCCAAGAATTGGACCTAAACCGGCAGTCAGATACCCCTCTCGCAGTCTGGGGCTCTCGCAGTCTAGGACCTTGGCTCCTTACTGCCTGCCTATAACAGAGGTGGGAGAGGCTCACGCCACCACCACTGTGCTTGCCAGTTGTGAGTTGGCTTCTGGCTGAGTGGCACTCCCCCTGTGGGAATGTACTGACCACCAGGGGGTGGCTCCTGCATTGAGTGGCTGCCCCCTGGTGGTCAGTGTGCGTCATAGTGACCAGTCATTCCCTTGTTCGGTCAATTTGCATATTAGAGTTTTATTATAAGTAGGTCCTCAGGTTACATTGGAGATCCATTCCTGTGACATAACGTGATTTTCGCCATAAGTTGGAACCCACCTACATAAACACTATGTAATGCACATGGAGCAGTAATAAAGTGAAACAGTAAAAAAAAAATTAAAAGAAAGATAATTCCTGAGCTTTACTTGTGTTAAATCAATAATAAAAAACATAAAGCACATATGAACGTTGGGGATCATGCCTCAAAATGACAGAACCCTTTTTTTTTTTTTTTTTTTTTAGATAAATGGGAGATGGTGATGTAACCACAAAATAACGAGCGAGGACTGCCTGTATAGGATTTTTTAGATGGTAGTTGGACAAGACACCAGGTGCATTAAATAACCTAAATTAATCTGTTGTTCAGTCCTCTGTTGAGGTTTATAATGATGGTAAGGACAGAGTCTCAGTTTGGTGCAGGGACTTGCTCAGGCTCAGGGTTTTCATGGCAAACAGAGTCTAGCTAAAAAAGTATACAGGAAAAATAAGACCTTTTCTTTTTCAGTTATGCTTATTATTAGGACCACATTCCTTTTAGGACAAAGAATAGTCATTTTCCATTTATAGTGGGGGTAAAATTTGCTTTTTAAAAAGTGAGCTGATTTAAAGAAAAACATTAATGATGATATACATGTAGCATAGAAATATAGTAAAAATGGGAAGGTTTCATTGGTAAATGACTGGTAAATCCTGGTCTGCGTGAGCTGTTGCACCCACCCTTATCTATGCTACACTCTCCTCTTGACCAATGTCAGAGAGGGATGCTTCAAAAACTTGGAAATAAGATTGTTCACTGAGATTTAAACTCTAAACTTAAGAAAAAGGAATAAATGGCCTGGCTGCCATGGCTCGGGAAGTCACAGTTCAATTCCCGCTCAGGGCATATGCCCAGGTTGCAGGCTTGATCCCCAGTGTGGGACATGTGGGAGGTAGCCGATCAATGATTCTCTCATCATTGATGTTTCTCTCTCCTCCTTTCTTTTCCTTCCCTCCTTCTCTGAAGTTAATAAAAACATACATATATATATATATATATATATATATATATATATATATATATATTTAAAAGAATAATTGATATAAGCTGATGGAAAGTATTAACACATAGCGAAAGACAAATGTGGGAGGTGATTTGGGTGGGTGTGGGCATAGGTTAACCTCGAGGCAAAAAACCTGAGATGAAACATTGGCAGGTGCCAATGGAAATACTGATGAGGGCAGAGAGTCTTTGCTGGCAGACTTCAAAGAAATTCAGTTTCACCAGTAGGACCATATTTATTGTGGATAGATTACTCTCTTAAACATGATTCACCTTTTTCTGATTTCATGTTCACCAATAATCTGTTTATGATCTGCCTTCCTGTACAGGCCTGTCTACAGGGAAAGACTAAGCTAATCACTTATAGTTTTAGAATATCAGTCAGTTATATTTTTCTGTATAAATGTCAACAGGCATTTTGGTTGGCAGATCAATCTTGTAAGCTTGGTTAAGGTGAGCCAAGTTCTGATAATGAATCTGTTCTTTGTATGTTGATTAAACTGGTTTCTGAACCTGAAAAGCTAAAAACTAGACTCTGTAAATCACCAAGATAATAAATGCCATCCTACAAGGAAGGCCTCCTGGAAGCCAGTCCCTGGACCTTTAACAAGAGACATGTTGGTATTACCAGTGGCATTTCCCTCCTCAGAATGTCTTTGCCTTGCTTTCAGAATTGTGTTAAGGAATTAGAAAACTAGAAACTCTCCATTTCTTCTGTTAAAACACTTTATGAATTTATTAATTCTCATGTTAAAAGAGATCTGCATCTAGCCCCGTGGTTGCACTGTTTAAGACCAAAGTCTGTAGGGAAAGATCTCAATCTTGTAGAGTCTATGAAACTCAAGTTTACTTATGCAGCCTAGAGAGCAGACAGAAGGTGACAAAGCAGAGGCTGTTTTAGTTCACATACAACAAATGCTTTTTCTTCTGGAGGAGAGATACCCCTTTTTCTATCAGTATTGAAAGAATTATCAGAAATCTCTGTTCCACCTGAGGGCTAGGTAGCCCTCTCTTCAGAAGAACTGGAATAATAAACAGGCCTCCGAAGAGGTTTTTGGCTAAAGAGACAAATAAATATCCCTAAATTTACATACTACAGCTCATATATTGTATTCAGTAGAGTTTCTCGGATACTCTTGGTTACACTTGGTTTTATATTAAAATTGTACATCTGAGATTTAACCACATATGGAAAGGCTACTATAAATATAGGGGTGATGTTTATCATCCTGGTGATTAGCCTTTCAAATTCAGAAACTTGGCTAAATTAATTTACCGAGTAGATTGATCTGTCAGGGTTGAGCACACCTTAATCCAGTTTATGAGCAGATTAGACATAGAAAATTATGGTAAATTATGGGAAAAGATCACTGACAGTGAAAGAAAGATACTCAAAGATTAAAAATAAATAAAAGAACTCAAGATAGCTCCTACTGCTAGTGTAGAGGCAAATAGTCCTATAGGCCTCAACAGGTCCTGTATTCAAGGGACAATGACTGAGAGGTCAAGGTTAAACAATGTCCAACTGGTTTTGTTTAAGTCATGATAGAGTATCATTCATAGTAAAAGGCAATAGGCCACCCTGATATTGCTATTGCTAGTGCTTTTGGGTATTGTAAAAATGGTCAAAATTAGCTTTGGTATTTTACTTTATTTTATTATTATTGTTTTAAATCCTCACCTGAGAATATTTTTTCCACTGAATTTTTTTAGACTGGGGTGGGAGAGAAACATCGATGTGAAAGAGACACATTGACTGGTTGCCTCCCACACATGCTCTGATCATCTTCTTCATCTTTGAAGTCTCATATCCTTTCTTCTTGAATTCTCCTCTTGGAGCTGCCATGCTACCCCACACTTCAAGTTTTCTTCCTGCGTCTGGACTTCCATGACACATGGCACAAGTTCTCTCCAATGCCCGTTCCCAATTTCTTTTGCAGCCCCCAATTAAGACTTGGGAAGAAGTCCATAAATGTTAACTTCTTTTCACTTCCAGGTGGGTCTTTCCCCTCTACCATCCTTAATTAATGGTATCCTCAGTCTCTTAAGCAAGAAACAACAGTCATTTTCAATGCTAACTCTCACACTTATGTTTTTCTTTCTTTTTTAAGTCCTCACCTGAGAATATATTTTTCATTGATTCTAGAGACAGACGAAGGGAGAGTGAGGGAAAGAGAAGATCATTGTGAGAGAAAAATATCAAATGGTTGCCTCTAGTACACACCCCCACCAGGGATTGAACCTGCAACTTGGGTATGTGCCCTGACTGGGAATCAAACCTGTGACCCTTTGGTGCACTGGACAATGCTCTAACCAACTGAGCCACACTGGCTAGGGCTCACCCTGATATTTTCAATGATAAATCCATAAGGCAGAGTAGGACTTCTACACTATTATTTTAAGTGTATTTTATTAGTGGTACATAGTTAAATAAAATAAAGACAGCTTTATAGTGATTAAGATGTAAGTTACTGGTAAATCTGTTTTGCCATCACTCATAAACACAGAGAGGTTAATAGACACATTTATTTTGTATTTTCTATTTATTATGTTTTCTTTTCCTTCATTCCTGTTTCTGTCGGATTGATAGCTTTAATATCTGTTTCTTCCCTCTACTGGTTTAGAAATGTTAGTTTATTCTTTTTATTCTTTTAGCAGTTATGCTTAAATTTTTCATATATGAGTTAATCAATATTTATTTTCCCCTCTTGAAAATAAAGGATTTTAGAATGCCCTCCTTCATCTTCCATGTTACTGCCTACTATTTTAATTTTCAACTTGTTTTTCAAGACTACTAGCCACTATCATCATTTATAACTTATATAAAGAAACAAACATACTAACTTCTTAGCCTTTTGAAGTTTATTCCTTCCTTCTGGATTTGATTTTCTTCTGTTAAAGTACTTCAGGGGTTTGTGAGGGATAAACTCGCCCAATCTTTGGACCATAAAATTCTTTATTTTTGCCTTTAATATTGGATGATAGCTTTATTGGGTATAGAACATTAGATTGGCCATTATTTCCCATCAGCAGTTTGGAAATAATATCCTGTTTACTTCTTCTTTTGTTGAGAAGAAGTCTGTTTTCTATAATTTCTTTATGTCTTTTCTCATTGGTCGCTTTTAAATTGTTTTTTGTTGTTGATGGTATGAAATTCCACTAAGACTGGAATTGTGGGGAACATCCAGCCAGCAGGCTGTGTAAAGCTCAAGAAATAATTTGGTCTGCCCCTGCCAAGGCATTATGGTGAGTTAATTAAATGTTTGACCAAATACAGCAGGCTAATTTTTAAGATAATAATTTTGTGGCCCACAAATGATGTTATAAATATCCAAATGGCCCTTGGCAGA